GAAAAAATGGATTTAAAACAATTTTGTACAGAAAAATGTTTGAAATCCATTCATAATTTTTTCATAATACATATCTTCCATATAAAGTTTTGGTGACCCTGTGTATGCATGGATTTCAAAATTTATATCCCCCTTAAAGTTTTCTGTTAATACTGTTTTTGGTGAACTTTTAAAAATATTTCTCAGTTTTTTTCAAAGAAGATAAGCATTTTGCATAGCAAATTCACTCACTTCCCAACTGTAAAATCTTATCATTAGACTTGATCAAAAAAATAGCATATGAATAGTATGAATTATATTTTTAAGTTATTTATTTGTGAGGCAGAAAAAGAGAATTTTTATTTGGTGGTGCAGGCCTAAAGCCTGGAACAGCCAGAGTGGTCTAGGGCCAAAACTGGCAGTAAGGAACTCAGTCCACATCTCCTGTATGGGTGGCAGGAACCCAATTACATGAGGCATCACCACTGCCTCACAGCATCTGAATTAGCAGGAAGCTGCAGTCAGGAGACAGAGGTGGGTATTGAACCTACTCACTGCCATATAGGATACAGAAGACTGGACCATAATCTTAACTGCTAAGCCAAATGCCCACCACACTGACATTTTAAATTCTAAACTCAAAAATAGTAAGAAAATATTTATATATAAATATATATATATACATATATAGCTATTATATGTGTGTGTGTGCACGCGTGTGTGTGTAAGAGCTGTTGTAAACTAGGTATTAGAGTCCCCATTTCATAGGCAGAAAAAGATTTCTTTAAAAATTTTTGTGAAATTTGTCTTCACTCCTTTAATTCATCTTCAATAGCTTTTATTATATAGTAGGTAATTTGTCATTTTTATAAGAAAGTTCAGTGATACAATGAAGTGTGGCATCAATGTTTTTCTGTATTTTTTTCCATTCTTCACATTCTTACCTACATGTGTGTGTCATGCGTACCCAGCCAGCACACATGGAAAAGTGGAAGCAGGGTAGATATAGCTAGCTTTGCAAATGAGCACAGCATATATCTTGCCTGGAGGCCCTGCTGTAGGAACTCAGACCTTACTTCTGAATGCCGTGCACTCCTGAGCCAGCATATCCACAAATGTGTCTGACTTAGGTCCCGAGAATAACTGCCCACTGAGGCACACTGAACCATTCAAGTAAACTGGTGCCTAGAATGAATATGTGTGTATCATGCAAGGGGCAGACCAGTATCCAGAACATGGCCAGAATGTGCACATCCCAGGGTTTTTAACTTTTCTCCCTAAATGTGATAGCAAGTGAAAGAGTGACATTATGGGACTGAATTTTAGGAATATCATCCTGAGGATTCTATCATTTCAATAATAAATTGAGACACACATAATGGAGGGCTGATTAATGGGCAAAAAGGCTGTGATGCTTATACAAGGATACTAAAGAATGTTCATAGAAAATGGAATTAAGGAATAAGTGTTTTGTATTAATTTTTTTTGAAATCCATGTACATAAGAGAACATCAAAAACTTCGTGAAAAATACACATTATGAAAAAAATCTGCTCAGATTCTTAACCAGAATAAGCTTATCTTTCTAAAAATGCCATTTTTCCACAATCTTTCTGAAGTTCCCTCTTACATGTTTTATACATCTTGACATGGACACCGCGTGTCCATTCCTATCTCTCTGCTCTGGCCACCCCTGCATTGGTTTCAGTGGCTCCTTTGGGCAACCCTCTGCTCTGCCTCTGGGACTTCACAATGAGCTGTCTACATGGGATCCTCCCCAACTCCTCTGAGAAACCAGCGCCTCCTATCATCCTTCACAGTGTAACTCACAGGATATTTCTTCAGGGAAGCCTTGCTTTCCATCACAGCTCCCATGAATGGTGTTATAATCCAAGGAGTAAATCCATCCATATATGACACTGCTAAGAGAAGTTATGGATATGATGTGTACATGTGTGTGCATTTATGACTATAGGTGTACATGTGCGTATGCATAGATGCAGGAGATTAGACTCTTTCCTCTGCAGGTTTCTTTTTTTAAAGTACACAGAACACAGAAGCATTTGTCTATTGGGATTTCAAAATGACCTTGCTAAGGCAAGAGAATACACACACACAAACACACACACACACACAATTTTATGTATATAAAGCAGGCCAGTTCTTACCGTGATCTAATTCTTTCCCATTTTTATCCTGCTGTCTGTGTGGACCAATGTGCCTTGCATCTGCTTGCAGTTTAATTTTGTGGTGATCTTGGAATGACTGCTACACTTTGAGAATATTTTTACATGTAATTAGAAATCAAGTGAAGGCAGATGGAAGTGGAGGGCAGGAGGCTGGTGAGGAAGCTGTTTCACTCTTCTAAGTGAGGCCCTGGGGTATTAGGGAAGGGTGATTTCAGAGTGAAAAACAGTATGCTTCAGACTGAGATGTTATGTAAGTTTATGGGAAGAGGGGGGGGAACAATGGGTATACCCATCATGACTCTAAGGTCTCAGCAAGAGTGGGTGACTCCAGAAGGAGGAACCAGTTTGAAAAGGGAGGTAGAAAGGATGAATTCAGTTAGTGGCATGAGTTGGAGTTGCCTTTAAGGAATCAAACTGCACTTAGAGAATGAGGCTATTGCAGTTTACCAATAAAGTGAAGGCAAAAGAAAATGGCCTCTGAACTCTACGTGCTAAACTGAATTTAGTTTCTGTGTTAGGAAAGGCCTAGTGAATTATTAAGGGAGCTGATGCCTCCTCTTCCCAGGAGGGAACTTTAAGCACACAGAAGCAGTTGTCTGCTGTGATTTGAAAATGATCTTGCCTTGGCGCAGCAGTTGCCAGCCCAGATGACCTGTGGAGACTCTCACAGAGCCCTGGACTTGGGATGAACTTCCTCTTACATGGACTCACATGTGCTGAGTATACCACAGTACTCATCAACAAACATGTCCCCTTTGTTAAGCTGATAAGAATTCATTGTGATTTACTGCAATACTTTCTCTCCATCACAAAATCAAACTATCATATGTACTAGTAATTTTTGCATAATTTCGCATTCTCTTTATCAAGTTTCTCTTCAGTATGAACCAAATTAAGTTCTGATAGCAAGTACTCATGACATAAAAATAGAATACACATTAATGATGAAATTCAAAGTTTGGAAAGTAAAGTAAGTCCTAAAAGTAACTTCTTCGTTGAGCAAATCCGTAATTACCCTCACAGCCAGCTGCCTGTATGAAGAAAGTTTACCATTCACACTGAGACATAATGAGAGTAGGGTCACATTTTAATGCTGTAAAACCTTCACCAACACTCTCCCCTCCATCTTCACGGGTAAACCGAGGAGGCCTTCAACTCTTAAGTCCTTTATGGGTATACCTCTTAAGTGCATTAGCTATTATGCTAGATTCTGGGAATAAAACAGTGAAAAAGAAGTGAAACATGTTCACACTTCAGCAGTAGAGAAATACGTATAAGCTGATAATTTTTGAAATCAGATCTCTGATACTGATAACACAAAGCATTATAAAGACATCTGCCAGAGCAAGGGAAGATGGGGCGATCAGAACATCTGAGCTAAGTGCGATTAAAGAATGATTAGGAAGAATTAGCCAGATGAGATGGTTAGGTAAGGGAGGAGCTGTCATGGAAGGAAGGGTTTCATATCAGAGAAAACGACTAGAAAACAATTATGAAGGAAAGAAAAAATACATGTTAATGTGGAGAGCGATGGGTAGTGTAGTATTCCAGATACAAGAGGTAGGCAGTGTTGAACAGTTGAGTGAAGAGCTAAATTGAGCTGGATTGCTGAGGTTATGATGTGCTTTGCTAAGGTGTTTATTCTGTACCCAGAAGGGCAGTGTTTTTCACAATTTTTTTTAGCTGCTGATGACATGAAACAGTTTAATGGGAAGGGGGAGTGCGTCATTGTGTCGTAGTGAGTAAAGCCACTGCCTTCAACACTGGCATCACATGTGGGCTCCAGTTCGTGTCCTAGCTGCTCCACTTCTGATCCAGCTCCCTGCTACAAGCCTGGGAAAAGCAGCAGAGGATGGCCCAAGTGTTTGGGCTCCTGTTACCTATGTAGGAGACCAGGATGAAACTCCAGGCTCCTGGCTTGCACAGTCTTAGCCATTGTGGTCGTCTGGGGAGTGAACCGGCAGATGGAAGATCTCCCTTTCTCTCTCTGATCTCTTTCTTTCTCTCTCTGTAACTCTAACTTTCAAACAAACAAATCTTAAAAATGAAACTTGAAAAACAGTACATTTTAAAATATATGTAAAAGTACTTCAAATTTCCATATTTGACATCAGAAAAGTGATGCCATTAACAGCAATTTTCATTTGAAAATTTAAGATGAATATTCTGAAATATAGCTTAATTCTAGGTCTAGTCTGTATTTTCTTCTAGCCTTTAACTTAGTAAGAAGTAACACATAATATAGGTCAGAGAGAGACAGGCAAGTGTATATATCTGTATCTCATATGAAACTTAAAATGTCATGACATATTTTACTAGAAATTACTTTTTGTGAACTGTTAGAATCTGAGTTGGCAAGCAAGCTTGTCCTAATACTCAGAAGTTAGAGTGTTAAATGTTTTAAACGAGGACATAGCAGAACATCAGTTTCTATGTACTCTGCACTCAAGAGTAGAAATTATTTTTTTATGTTTTGTAGTTTCACTGAATTGGCTTTAAAATATGCCTACTCATTTTTTTAAAATACAGAAAACCATTATGCTGAACTATATTTAACTTCTAGCAGTTGTATCCTTTGTACACTATTCAGTCATCTTAAATCTTTCTGATCCTCCAAATTAAATACAGTAACGCTTTTGTATTGATGTGATAGAATTAGGGTGTTCAATAAATGGAATATATTGCTGAAATCAGACTATTTGAGCACACCATTTGACATCATTGAAAAGGTCGTTAATAGCATGATCAGTGTCAGCAAAAAATACAGTGATCTCAACTCTCATTTTGAAAACCCATGTGAACTTGTTTTCCCTTGGTAGTCAGCATACTTCAGAGCAAAAAGACAGTCTTGTATTGACTGGCCATTCCTTCACTCTGTATATTGAAAATACACAATGATTATACTTGGTTTTTATTATTTCCTTCAACATTGTATCACGATCAGTTGGTATTGTGCTGGATTCTTGGCTGTTTTCAAGGGAATAAAATGTGTGTATTACCATTTAAGTTTTACTTAATTCTTTCTCATAGTGCCAGTTTTCACTTCTGCTTACATATCTGTTGAATCCACCACATCTTTTTCCAGCAATGAGTAGTCCTGTTTTTATGGAATGACTGGTAGTTAAATTAGGAAGTCCTTTTCTCACATGTTTATTCCATACATGTATCAAAAGGATAGTCTATACACATCAGTGGTTTGTTCAAGTGTCAGATGAAATATCTGTGACGACTTCCAAGAGATAGGGATTGCATTTCAACATTGTGTAGCTTCTCCGCGTTGACATTATGCAATGTTGAACATTGTTCATTGATGCTGAAATTTTACCAATAGCTTTTCCTGATTTTTTTAAGTTCATAATAGTTACCATTAATTTTCTCAGTGATATCACAAACCTCTGAGAAGCAGTATGAATACACTTATTTTTGTCTTTGGCATCTACAGTTACTAATTTCATCATGTAAAACATTATTTTGCTCTTGTTTTGTGAGAATGTGCTTGATTTATAATAGCACAATGAGATCCACAGATGAATGAATCGTCTTTGTAAGGAAATCCTAGTTTCAAGTACTTAAGTTGTACTTCCATTTTCGTTTCCTTTTTATCACAGCTTGTCCTAAAACAGAGAGATTCATATTATCTTTTGACTTATGAGTCCTGTGCAACCATTTTATTAAGGACCTGGCTGTGTTCATCATTATGTTTAGGGTTTCATGAACCAATTCTGAGGCATTGATCACATTTTTAAATAGTTATATAGCAACAAATGTCATCAACACACACAACTTAGAAATGAGGTAGATGTGACATCTGGACCAGCATTATCCTTGTGGCAGGTGCAGGCCATTAATAATGTCATTATTAAGAATACTACTGGGTTACATGTACCATCACAGTTAATCTTACATATCAAACATCTGAAACATGTGAAAAAGGGCAAGAATGGGAGGCATGGAGCTCATTTAGAAGGGATGCTGTGGCTGCTCATTTGGATTCAGTTACTCTGATATTGTCACACATTCATATCTGATATGAAACAGATAAAATATTGCTACTGACACATTAGTATTTTGATATTTTTATTGTTCTGGTAAATCTTAATCCTGTGGTCTTGAGCTGACTGTTTGTGCCCTGCTCCCACCCCCAATTCACATCAGTGTGATACCATCTGGTGGTGGAATCTCTGAGAGGGAACTAGACATGGAGCAGGACCCTTAAAGCTGTTTCCATAGTATATACTACATGATGTAGATTACTCTTTGTGTGTTCTGAAATAGATAATCACATCAGAAAGTTGTAATTTTGTCTTTCTTATTTTATTGAACTTTCATTGATAATGTTTAAATAGTTTGCTATTTGGATTCCCTACAGTGACTAAATTAACATCATATGGAAAATATACTAGATATACAGTTTTCTCTCAGTCAGTATTGATGCTGGAACAATATTGGCCCTTTAGGATGTGCTCAGAAATAAATGATTTTGAGTAAAGTTTTTGTGGCATTTCTATGGTTTTTTTTTTTTTTTCTTTCATTGGTTGGCTTTGGCATGGCCTGATGATATAAGGAAGCAATGGAGCGATCGTTTTCAGATCTGTGTAAAATTACAAGAAGATCACAAAAATGAAATGTCTGAGAAATAGACAGAAATATTATTGTGTGAAAAGGAACGCAGAGGCCTCTTGCGGCCCTGTGCCAGTCATGTGCTTGCGAAGGCACTGCTGCCGTGCTCAGCAGTAGCTGCCACACTGATGGTGCCCTCAGTGTGAGGCCCGTCCAGTGATGCAGCTTCACAGTGAGGGAGTCAGGATGACCCTGGCAGAAGCTGGAAAATCTCCCTTTCCCACATCCACACAAGTATTATGATTTCAACGCAGATATTGTTACTACCTTTTGAAAGAAAGGTGATGAAATTTTTTAAGTCTATAATATTATTAAGAAATTTTCATTTCAATTTTTTGATAAAATAACTACAAATTATTTAAAGTTATGTATATGTCTTGCTTGAATGTAAATAATGTTTGAAGATATGGAATCAATACTATTTATTTTTCCATTACTTTTTGTATTACAGAGACTTGAGGTAAGAAGATATAATTTTTTTATTTAGTAAATATAAATTTTCAAAGTACAGTTCATGGATTACAGTGGCTTCCCCCCGCCATAATTTCCCTCCAACCCGCACCCCTCCCATCTCCCGCTCCCTCTCCCATTCCATTCACATCAAGATTCATTGTCAATTATCTTTATATACAGAAGATCAATTCAGTATATATTAAGTAAAGATTTCATCAGTTTGCACCCACACAGAAACACAAAGTGTAAAATACTGTTTCAGTATTAGTTATAGCATTACTTCACATTGGACAACACACTAAGGACAGATCCCACATGAGAAGTAAGTACACAGTGACTCCTGTTGTTGACTTAACAATTTGACACTCTTGTTTATGGCATCAGTAATCTCCCTAGGCTCTAGTCATGAGTTGCCAAGGCTGTGGAAGCCTTTTGAGTTCACCAACTCTGATCATATTTAGACAAGGTCATAGTCAAAGTGGAAGTTCTCTCCTCCCTTCAGAGAAAGGTACCTCTTTCTTTGATGGCCCCGTTCTTTCCACTGGGATCTCACTCGCTGAGATAAGAAGATATAATTTAACCTTTATTGTAGGGGTAATGTTTAAAAATGTTTTCCAGATCTGTATTTCTGGTATTTGGCTTTATTACCAGGGAAATGAATTACACATTTTTCCTAGAAAATGAAGAGAAAGAAGTCTAGCTGAAACAAAAGTAGGAGAACTGGGTGTGGTTCATTATCTGTAATGAAGATATCGGTAGGACATGTTTGCAGGGGAATGGGTGAAGGATACATTTTCTAACAATTTGTATTACTATCTTACAATTTTTGTTTTGTAAATTTTTAACTATTCTAAAATGTAAAAATAGAATGCCTGTTCCTTGAGGGGAAACAAATACAAAATAAATACAAAATGTGCATTCTCAAACTACCTAACACAAATAGAGGAAGGAACTGGAACTCTCTTACTCTAATTGCTAATTTCATTTTCCTGATTTTCTTCAAGTTCTCCTGTTTCTTAATATCTTTCTTTAAAACTTACTTGAGAGTCAGAGCGCAAATTCCATAAACTGCTAGGGCTGGGCCAAAGCCAAAACCCAGAGCTCAGTTGCGGACCCAAGTACTTGAGCCATCATGGACTGTTCCAGAGGTATGCGTTACAGGAAGCCTGAGATGGGAACAGAGCTAGGACTTGAGCCTAGGGCCCCACCAGCTACTTAACTGCTAGGTCAGTAATGCCTGCCCTTATATTTGTGTATATATATATTTTTCTAAAACTAAATAAACATAATTTACTTGCTAGTGAACTATTAATAACTATAGTTGTTCAAGTATAAAGTATATTACATGAGTTGTTTAGTTTATTTCATAGACTATATTGGTCAAATACCCAATATTCAAGCCAAATAAAAAAATTTACTACATGGGTATTTCTTCTAGTTAAATCCAATTTTGAAGAAATAATTTTAATGTACCTATTGGCAGGCACTCAGTTCATTTGTGTTTAGCAACAGCAAATTATTTTTTTCTTTTGCAGAAAATATACTGAAGTATTCTTAGACATTAGAGAATATGGAAAATTTAAAATGATTAAGTTAGATCATAACATTTGGGTCTGTAAATGTCCTTGATCTCCTGTCCATGTAGAAGATAAATAAACAGCAAAACCTTTTTAGAAATTCTCCCTGTAGCTTTCAAACAAGAATTCTTGAAACATTCAGTGCTAGTGTTTAATGATATATTGAGAACTTCACTTGTAGGGAAAAAGACAGTTTGCACTCATCTATGAAAATGAGTGGGTAGGCCCATGGGATTTAGTTTAATAGAAAAGCTTTGTGTTCTATTGCTTTATCTATTCTTTTGTTAAGTTTTTCTGTTTGTTAGATTTATGTTAGGTTTAATACTGTTTTTATTTCAAGTCAGATTTCTCCCAAGTTCCTTAATACACATTTCTTGAAGGACTTGAAATGGGCCAAATAATCTGGAAACCAATTTTTTTTTTTTACAAAATTACTTAGAATAACATCCTGACATTTTTACTGTCTATGAGGGAAGTAGAAGATGGATAAATACCCACAGGTGAGACTTAATTGACTTTGAAAAATGAAAATAGCAAACAACTTTTCCCAAACCTTGACAGGATTGTATTCTCAGAAGAGAAGATACTACCAGACACTACCATCTAACTGCAGTAGAGTCAGTAGCCACATTGCATTCATAAGGTCCAGGACTGTTCTAAGAATTTCATGTGGTATCTTACTTTTCCATACTACAGTTCTGTGAGGCAGGTCTTATATTTTACTTATTTTTATGGATTTGGGAATGATGTGTAAGGATGTTAAGTAACTTGAGCTTGAGTTTCCCACAATCTCATCCCAACTGTCTCTCTCTTCTCTCTCTTTCTCTCTCTCTCTCTCTCTCTCTCTCACACACACACACACACACACACACGCACACACACACACACATATATAGCATCTTCAACATGTAAGGCCTCCCATTGTGGCTATACTGGGTAATTTAAGACATATATCACATATAGAAACATACAGGGGTCAGGAAGCCTGTTACGGACCATCATAATAGTCAGTCAGAAATTAAAAGCAGTGCACAAACGACCTGACTCCAGGAACAAGAGAACATGATTGACATTAAACTATTGGTAAACAGTAGTGACTCAGGCAATAATTAAAGAACTAAATTTTTGGGTCTCTATGTAAATGAAAAAGAAGTTTAATGAGTATGTAATGATATCATCTTTATACAGTGTAACATAAAACAAAATCAATTGTTTATGAATTTAATTCATGTAGAGCATTAGGTTTTTTAGCTGGACTATGAAATAATTAAGACACCATAGGTCTTTTCTTCCATTGCTATGAAAATAGCATCCATTGACTTCAAGGATTTTTTTTGTCTCCTAATGAGATTTATTTTGAAATTTTATGTTTAAAGCCCTTTGATTTCATAACACCTCCTTTAGGGTAAAATTACTTGAAGTTTTTATATTCACTGCTTTCTACACTATGCTTAGCACTATAGAAATAAGTGAAGTGGTAAATATGTTCCTTGCCCTAGAGAAACTTGCTCTAGTTGAGAAAATAAAGAAAAAAAACTTCCTGAAAAATCAAAAAACAATAAAAGGCAGTTCAAAATGAGTATCGTTAAAATAGTCTGCTATGCCTGCTGAAGAAAATTTTTCAAGTACTCTTCAGGATTCCATCCTAAAACGTATACTTCTCTCAAAGATTTTCCCCTTAGTTTTTGAATGGTCTGCAATAAATAGCTTTTTCTGCTCTTCTCAATTGATTTTACAGGGTAATTTGACATTCTTGTTATTCAAATTGAAATTTTACTTTGCTTCTTAAGCATTAAATCATGTCAGAGGTTTTCTAGTGGATGAATCAGGTCAATTGTTTAAATCTCATAAGGAAATTCAGACACAATTTAATTGGTGGCTTTACTGTTTTTAAAGAGTAACTTCCAGGGGCTGACATTGCGGTATAGCCAATAAGCTACCACTTGAGATACCAGCATCCCATAGGGACCCAGGTTCATAACCCAGCTGCTCCACTTCTGATCAGTTCCCGCTAATGGCCCAAGAAAAGCAGCAGAAGATGGGCCAAGTGCTTGGGCCCTGCCACTGCATAGGAGACCCATAGGAGGCTTCTGGTTCCTGGCTTTTGCCTGGCCCAGCCCTGGCCATTGCAGCCCTCTGGAGAGTGAACCAGAAGATGAAAGATCCGAAAGATCACCCCCCCCTCTCTCCCCTCTTTCTCTCCTTTCTCCTTTCTCTCCCCTCCCCCCGCATAGTTCTGACTTTCAAATAAATAAATCTTTATTTGTTTATTTGAAAGTCAGAATTACAGAGTGAGAAAGAGAGCGAGAGATCTTCCATCCTGCTAGTTCACTCCCCAAATGGCTACAACAGTCAGGGCTGGGTCAGGCAGGAGCCAGTAGCTTCATCAACATCTTCCACATGGGTGCAGGGGTCCAAGCATTTGGGCCATCTTCTGCTGATTTCTCAGGCAGATTAGCAGGAAACTCAATTGGAAGTGGAGCAGCTGAGACTTGAACCATCCCCTATATGGAATGCTGGTGCTATAGAATAGCATTAGCTCAGAGGTGGAGATTTTTCGTTTGAGATACCTAGCAAACCAAGATGCTTGGGAGTCCAGGGAAAGGTCCAACCAGAGACTGATATCCAAAAATGTTTACTTTCACCATACATTCTTTGTTGCACCCAGAACAAATGAGTATACACATAGCTACTGGGGAAACCCTTCTCAGTCTAATATGGCAGTTAGTATTCCCTGCAACCATGCTATTTCGGAAATTCCTTTATAAACATTATCTTAGCCGTGCAAATGCAAGTCACTCTTTAGCAAAGAGCTTGACTCTTCTATGGTGAAACGTCTGATTTTTCCATCACAAGAGATGTTAAAGTTCACATACCTCTTTGTTCCAGTAGTGGTTTGGTCTTTCCACATTGAAGTACTGTTTACCTGTTCATATATCTGTACCTTCATCACTTTGTGAGTGGTGCAAGAAAAGGAGCCATATCTCATACATTTTTGAATTCCTAACCAAATGGCCCACTTGTACTTGGTAATTATTTGATAAAGATAACTATCCTCGATATTTTAATATCTTGTAGGAACTGATCTTGGAGCTTATACTGACTCTTAAAAATCTGTATATATTTCAAGTATATATTTGCTTATAGAATTTTTTTTAAGATTGATTTATTTATTTGAAAGGCAGATAACAGAGACGCAGAGGCAGAGAGAGGTCTTCTATACGCTGTTTCACTCTCCAGATGACCACGACAGAAGGAGCTGTGCTGATCTGAAGCCAGGGGCCAGGAGTTTCTTCCTGGGCTCCCACATGGGTGCAGGGACCCAAGGACTTGGGCCATCTACTGCTTTCCCAGGCCATAGCAGAGAGCTGGATAAGAAATGGAGCAGCCAGGACTCGAACCGGCACTCATATGGGATGTCGACACTGCAGGAGGCAGCTTTACCTGCTATGCCACAGTGCCAACCCCAAATAAAATATTTTAATACTTCACTTACCACCTTTACTTATCGGTGCAAAGGGCCTAGTTTCTCATTTCAATTTTACATGTTAATATAGGTCAAGTCTACATAAGCTTTGATATCTGATGAAGAGATTGGCAGGTGTGCAGGGCATTGAGAAAAGAGTACATGAAACAAAGTTTGCAGTATATATTGGGAAATCTGTGAGTTAGTATTTATTTATTTATTTATTTTTTGACAGGCAGAGTGGACAGTGAGAGAGAGAGAGACAGAGAGAAAGGTCTTCCTTTGCCGTTGGTTCACCCTCCAGTGGCCGCTGCGGCCTGCGCGCTGCGGCCGGCACACCGCGCTGATCCAATGGCAGGAGCCAGGTACTTATCCAGGTCTCCCATGGGGTGCAGGACCCAAGGACTTGGGCCATCCTCCACTGCACTCCCTGGCCACAGCAGAGAGCTGGCCTGGAAGAGGGGCAACCGGGACAGAATCCGGTGCCCTGACCGGGACTAGCACCCCGTGTGCCGGTGCCGCAAGGCGGAGGATTAGCCTAATGAGCCGTGGCGCCGGCAATCTGTGAGTTTTTAGACAAGAGGGTTTTACTGTGATTGTTCAGCCCAGGGAACCCACACATATTTGTTAGATGGCTCTGTTAGGTAGTCAGAAATCACTTTGGAAGGTTTGAATGAGAATGCACTAGGAATTTGGGGAGTAGAAAGAATTAGTAATAGTTTTCTTCAGAGAAAATTAGGCTTGATTTAAAGAACAGGGCAGAGAAAGGCTAGCTATCTTAGGAAATGATATATTAAAAAGATTTGGTAACAGATAAGGGACTATGTGGAGAACAGAGAATCCAATGATGTCTTCAAGGTTTTAGCCTGGAGTCTAAAGCCTTTGATAAAAGCTGGGGGATTAGTAAGAGGCATTCATGAAAGGATGATAGTAGGTTTTGTTTTAAATGTTGTATGTTAGCATCCAGATGGAAATATACAAGCTGTTGGAAATTCTGAGCCAAAATCCAAGAGTTGGTTTGGAGTTGATGATGTAGATTTGGATATGGAAAGCACCACAGAAGCATATGCATAGAACAAACATAAAATAGTCCCCTAGTGCTTTTCACTTGTACGCAATTTCCTCTTTGTTTGGTATTCTTCTGTGAATATTTATGAAGAACTTTGACATACTACTTCAAAATGTAGACTTACCAGGACTCAGTTGTGGAAACAAAGAGAAGCAGCAGTGTTCTAGGTGGTCATTTCAACCTGTTTTCAGCATTTTATGTCCTCCTGTAGAAACATTTGAAGATATTAGCAGATTCCAATAGAAAATATCTTCACCAACTATCTTGCATGAAATATTTAATGATGCATGAATTATACTTTTACTTACACAGTTTAAAGGGATTTTTATTTACTTTCAAAGCCACTATAAAATGCAGTAGAACATTTGACTGAGCCTGCAGAGCGGCTTGAGGCTGTCCATGCTTTTGACATTATTGTTGGTACCTGCTCAAAAGTAAGGTAATGAATCTTTCAGGATACATATCAAAGTGAATTGCCTTTAATTTATTTCTGCGTTATGTGTCAACATAAAGGACATATACAGGTCAAAAATATAATCAGGTAGAATGCTGAATATTTCACAGTAAACATTGGTAAAATAATGTTCAGAAAGCTCTAATAGAACATGAAAAAGGAAAAGTACGATTTTGAAGTTGGAAAATATTAATCTCATGTAATTGAGTATATAGAGGTTCATCATTCTGTTTCTGTACAACCTCAGGATGTGAAATTGTAGACACATATATTTAATAGCATGGTAGTAGTTTTTAAGGTGAGATTATTCATAAAGCATGTTTGTTCATAAATTTAATAGTCACTAGGTTATTCACTAGCTTCAGAATGGCCATAGTTATGTTTCTAGTAATTAAAAATAAATCACCATCCCATTATCTCAAAAGAATTCATGAATCTTCAGTGTCAATATGGGTTCAGATTTTCTAGGTAGAAGTTAAGGAATTCATTATTCTTATCTGTGTCAAATTCCTAATTTACAAATGAGCTGAAGCAATTAATCCTTGCAAGTTGCCTGTATTAATTATAGTCTTAGACAGGTTTCCTTGCAGTTTTGTAATTCTTTTTGTCACATTTTCCCTGTGTTTACTATCTCAGCTTGATGCTTGTTGACATGCTGATTCATGTTTTAGTGTACTAGGTAGGTTTTATTCATCTAGAGGAATGAGTATAAAGAGGTCACACCTTATAATCACACTAGCATTTCTAGTGTGTGCAGGCCATATATCTCCTTTTAATTTAATCTCTGAAAAATGTACAGGGATTTCTGCAGTTGAGTTGTACAAATCGATAAAATTTATAATCAAGGCTGTCTAATCCCTAAACCTAATATAAAACTTCACAAGTATTGATTATATGTGCAGGATCTGCAAGCTGTTAATCATGCATGAAAGCATAGAATAAATGATGACTTCAGAAAAGGAAATGGACAAATAATCATCAAAACTGCAATTCTTATCTGTATTTCCATTCCGCCTCCAAAGCAAGTGTGTTGCTATGCACTTGTATTTTACAAAATCAAATGACGTATTAAAGTGTATCAGTAGCTATGGTTACTTTTGAAACTTGTATACTGTAACTCATTTCTCTTATAATTTAGGAGTTTTTGCTTCTTTTTCCATTTATGTGATCAATAACAAATTAGTCTCTTTAATAAGTTTCTAGAAGGAATGAAAGAAGGACCTAAGTTGATATATTAGAATCATAATCTTATTAAAGAAAGAACAAAATATATAGTAAATACTTGGGATATCATCATATGTGAATCCTATGGTTTATTATTTCGGAGGAATATTCAGTGCCATTAGATAGCCTCACAGAAATAGGGTGGTGTTAGTATTTCATTAGCTAATACAAAGGGACTTCCTATGCCTTAATGGAAACAAAAGATAAGTCTTGCTGCCACTGTCATGGCACAGTGGGTGAAGCCACTGCCTGCAGACACTGGCATCTCATATCAGAGCGCCAGTTCAAGTCCTGGCTGCTGCACTTCCAATCCAGCTCCCTGCTAATGTGCTAAGGAAAGCAGTGGAAAATGGTCCAAGTACTTGGGCTCCTGCCACCCATATGGGAGACCCTGATGGAGTTCCAGGCTCCTGGCTTCAGCGTGGCCCAGCCCCAGGTATTACAGTCATTTGGAGAATGAACCAGTGAATAGAAGATATTTCTCACTCTGTATCTCCTGCACTATCTGTCTTTCTTCCTTTCAAATAAACATAAAGAAGAAGAAGCAACAACAAAAAGATGTTTATGTTATTATTTTGATGCAAAAATTTGAAACCTATGCAATGTTTTTTAAAAATAGACATTTTCTATGAACTTTTAAAGATCTTTAATATACTTTAATTTTCTTAGTTATAGAAAACTGACAAACTTCAAGGACAGATATAAAATGTTTATTAGTTTTATAGTTGAGTTGTGTGCTTAAGGAAAAGGTTTACTATTTTATATTTAATCAGTATTAGATTAGTTTAGGTGAAAATACTGTAGTGAATGTGTTTTATTCTGTCGATCTTATCCATTCCATAGTACAGAAATTTAATTTGTATGGCAAATTTGTTTTTTACACATCTTTAAATTCATAATTTTAATAATTAAAGCATTTTAATAATTTGTATGTTGCAGTGACGTAGTGGGTTACTGGTAGGCTGGCATCTCAATTCTTATAGCTTAGAATAAACTATTGACGTGTTTTCTGACTCATAGAATTTTTCTAGCATTTAATAGTCTGCATAGGAGCATAGTGTGAACAAATCAACCTGCTCTCCAAGAGCATAAAGGAAATGAAGGCAAAATCACATCCATTGAAAAGCATGTCTTCAAGCACATGACATACTCAGTATCTGCCACATGTCGAGCACTTAATGAATGTTTCCTGTTATTAAAAAGTACAATGTAAATGAGCAGTGGGAAAATGAAATCCTTAAATCCACGTGCAAACCTATGTATATTTCACCAACGTAGTCCTCACGTAAATATCAATGCAATATATCAAATATGAGTAGGAATAAAGGTAGAAGCAAAGCACCAAGCAACAGATAACATGAAATCTCACCAATGATTAGACTTTGGGGATGGTTAGTTAGGAGGTTCTGGTGATCTGAATTGGCTCACAGAGCTACTGGTGAACTAGCTGTTGACTGATCTAGGTTGACCTCTGCTGTTCTAACTGGGGTGACAGCTCTGCTCTACATATATCTTATTCTGTCAGGAGTGGGGGAACATTTTGCTGCCAAGGGCCACTTGGATGTTCATAACATCATTCACAAGCCATGCAAAATCAACAACTTCAAAATTAACCTGTTTGTGGTTGTCTTGGCAGGGCCAGCCCAAGTGATTTTGCAAGCCTTTCGGACCCACAGGCCAGACATTCCCCACCCCTAAAACATAAGGCTTAATGAGACATAGTCTGAAAACCATGATAACCACAGGTTTGCCTCTTGACCAAGGTGAGGCTAACATCAAAGGATTTGCTTAGGTGTGAGGAATTACAAAGTAACATGGCAATCAATGTGAATAGAAGGAAGTATGAAGAATTACAATCATCATTGCAACTACCACAAGGGAGAACTGGGACTTTTTTTCCCTTAGCTCCTGAGCTTAAATATGTTTAAGTTATGCATTTTATTATTCAGAAAAATGAAAGGTCCCAAGCATATACTGTGCGGTAACCACTGTGCTGGGTACACTATACGTTTATCTCACTCAGAAGAAGAGTCTAAGAAGTAGGTTATTTTTCTTTTAAGGAGTAAAGAAGGCATAGAAAACCCTGGGTAGGGGCCGGCACTGTGGTGTAGTGGGTAAAGCCACCATCTGCAGTGCCATTATCCCATGTGTGCACTGGTTCGAGACCTAGCTACTCCACTTTCGATCCAGCTCCCTGCTATAGCCTAGAAAAACAGTACAAGATGGCACAAGTCCTTGGGCCCCTGCACCCACGTGAAGACCCAGAAGTAGCTCCTGGCTCCTGGCTTCAGATCGGCCCAGCTTTGGCGGCTGCAGCTATTTGGGGAGTGAATCAACAGATGGAAGACTTTCCCCTCTCTCTCTCTCTCTCTCTCGGCCACTGGCTTTCTGTAACTGCCTTTCAAATAAATCTTTAAAAAAAAGACAGAAAGAAGACCCTGTTTAGAATTTTGCTATTGCTAAATACCGCTTCTGTAAAGTCATCTTGATTTTTGCACTGCATATTATGAAGCAATGTTTTCCGTATTACATTTTTAAGGGTTATAATCACTCTGTCTTTTTGTGTCTGTGATTCATACTGTTGTTAAAAGGTTTCGTGAAATGTAAAACTTATCACTTATGAAATAGATATTATTTTATTTTACCCTATAAGGCTTCTTTGTTCTATTTGCTCCATGTATAGACAGTTACCTATAGGAAAAGTAAAAACTCAAATGATGCGTAAGTATGATATGCAGTATCAGATATGAATAAGTTTTGGTTCATTGATTGTGTGTGCATATTTATTCTAACACTGTCTAATGTGGTAATATGAAAGTATTAAGTAAAAAAAGCAGTAAAAGTTTCCCAAATTTCAACTACCCACATTGTGATAATTAGGTCTCATTGCAAGATATTCAATGGGAATTCTATTGGAAAATGAATTATTTTTGTCTTTTTTTCCAGGTTTTGTGGTAGTACTGCTCTTTAGAAATCAAATTACTTCTTTGGTATGATTGTAGAGAGGATTTAATGTTAATTTTATTAGAATTGTCTGAAAAGCTTAAGAAAGACTCTGGAGAGCAGTAGCGATGACTTGTTTTGGTTTAATATGATGAAGTTCTTAGTATGGTACTGATGGCACTGGGTAAATATTACTGTGACCCTGCAGGAGAGCTGAATGAGCCTTGCACCCTCTGTCACTCCGGATCCCTGGAGCTCAAGCATGTCACTTCAGCAACAACACAGCCAGAAAGCCAAAAGAGCTGACAGTTGGCTTGTGATTATTCCTGGACCTGAGGCTCCCTCATGTTACAGTACTAATCAAGTCATCTCTCCAACTTATCATTAACTCAATTTGACCCATAGGAGCAGAGATGAAATCTTTTTGGCAAGACTAATGATGCCCTAACATTGAAAAGATGTGAAATGTAAAAACTTGATTATCCTCAGTCCTTACAGAGGGAAAGAATCAAAATACAAAGAACAGAGTAAAGGCAATAATCTTCCAAAAGCTCTTAAATTTTCTTCCCCCGAGGTGTGGCACT